TTGCCTTAGAGACTAGGAAGCTTAAAACAAATTTTAATGGCCTGTGAGATTTTACCATTTCATGGTTTTGCCTATTTCTATTTTGTCATATATGCATTACATCAAGTCTTTTTGGAAATAAGTGCATGGATTTTTTTTAATGTTTAGTGACTACCTATCAGTGATTTCAGAGATTTATTAACTATCTACATTCCTAAGTGGAAAAAACTTGCAAGTTCCTTAGCACATTAAGTTCATATATGTTATAACTCAGTTTGAGGTTATATCCAGGTTCTCATTTTCTGAAATATTCAAAGTTTATGGAGAAACTTCCAAGTTGTTACCGTAAGTTTCTCCATTTTGATTTTCATTTACATCTTTAAAAGACAGATGTAGTTGATGGGACTTAAATAAAGTACATTTTTATTAGTGTTCTGCCCTAAATATTAAAATTCTCTGTTTTTTAATGCAGATGTAGAATTAGAAGAAGCTATTAGAAGAAGCCTTGAGGAAATGTAATTAAAGATATTACCACACAGCATCAAGTAGCCTTGAAGATACTCAGGATAATGAATTCTTGAATTTGTTTTCTAAAGAAGGCCAGCAATCTACTAACTAGTACAGATGTATTTGGAACACTGCTTTTTTTGCTTTCTCATGTCCAAAATTTTATATTTGCTTTGTATTTTTGTGTTTTTTTAAAAAAATGTAGAGGAATAAAATACATGTTAATACAAATATATAAACTATGTATTTTATTAGAGGTATGATAGTTTCCCAGTTAACTTGGAATTCCTATATTTAGGTTAAAAGAATTGAAAAATAGAAAAGCTCTTGACTATTGTTTATATGTTTCCCAAATAGCATTATTTCTTTACTTGTACAGTATAGGTGATTCTAGTTTATTTTTTTAGGAGTGAAAATGAAAATAAATAAAGCTGCCATAGATTAGTTTTTCTGTAAATTCTACTTCTCATGTGGCACTAATCTATGTATATAATTACCTTTGATTTCTCTGTTTATGATTATTAGAAGACAGTAATAGAAACTAATCGAGGAAACAGTTTAAAAGTGTTACGAGCACTGTTCTTTGTGGGTTTCACTCAGAGGTGTAATTCCTGCTTTACTTAGAGAAGCACATTGCTGGAATAAAAAGAATACCCTAATTTCTTTGAAATAATTAAAAAGAAACCTTTTCTATTCCTTTTACCTGCTTAGACTTTTATGTGACTTGCATTACCTACTGTTTAAAGGGAATGTTGTCAAAATACTTGCATAAAATTAAACTTATTTTTAATAATAATAGTCTTTTTTATATATTTGTGTAAACATAATCTTTAAAAAAAATAATGTTCCAGGTCTACTCAGGAATAATCTTCCTTAACCCTTTAAAATTTTTATTTCATATGTATCTTCATTTTTTTATTCATTAAATTGTTTTCAGTTTCCTATGTTTGGTATTTAATTTTTAAATGTTGAGGTCCCCATTGTGAATAATTAAAATATCACATAATTAGACTAAGAAGGGTTGTTATACTGTCTTTATATATATGCTTCATGTCATTTGACCAGAAATGTTACCCCAAAATTTTTGAGTAGTAATTGCTTACCAAGTTGAAAATTTTCTATAATTTTTTTAAAGAAAAAAGTCATGGCTAAAATTTTGTTCTTTTTTTGCAGTTACATATTTTAGTGTGAAATAGCATTGCTATATTTTTTTATTACAGTATAGTCTTTTTACAGTATAGTCTTTTCAACCCACATTGGAAATCAATTTGTGTTTTTATTTTTTAAGATATCAGGTCTAGCCCAGCCAGTGTGGCTCAGTGTTTGAGCATCAACCCATGAACCAGGAGGTCGCCGGTTCAATTCCCAGTCAGGGCACATACCTGGGTTGCGGACTCGATCTCCAGTATGGAGTACAGGAGGCAGCGGATCAATGATTCTCTCTCATCATTGATGTTTCTGTCTCTCTCTTCTCCCCTCCTCTCTGAAATCAATAAAAATATATTATAATATACATATATATCAGGTCTATTCTATCTACTTGTATATATTTTTTAAGTAGAGATTATAGCTTGAGAATTTACCAGTCATTTTTCCAAAATGACTACGTTGTGCTTTTAATTTGTATGTTAAAGTGGTCAAGTAAGGCCTTAGGAGGTAGTCCTTGAGCCAGACCTTAGGCAGTGGTTCTCAACCTTCTGGCCCTTTAAATACAATTCCTCATGTTGTGACCCAACCATAAAATTATTTTCGTTGCTACTTCATAACTGTAATGTTGCTACTGTTATGAATCGTAATGTAAATATCTGATATGCAGGATGGTCTTAGGTGACCCCTGTGAAAGGGTCGTTCGACCGCCAAAGGGGTTGCGACCCACAGGTTGAGAACTGCTGCTAGAGACACCTGCAGGAGCTTGCACAATAGTGAGAAGCATAAAGGACATTCCAGAAAGAAGTGTGGCTAAACAGATGTGGGGAAGAAGAAACAACACTTTTGTGCCAGAGCTGCCACAGTCAGGTGTGAGGTACACTGATGCTCTATAAGCAGCTTTTCATCATGACCCTTACAAAGGTAATTGAATTGTTTAATATTTTAATTAATTGTCAGTGATTGTGTTTTACCTGTTAAGCAATTAAAAATAATTTTTAAATTTGTTATTTGAATTTAGCTACAAAGGGGAGGGAAGATTTAATCAATGGATAACATTACAGAAAGTTATGGATAAATTACCAAAGTAAACGTTTCTAACATTGACAAAGATGCTTATCTTTTTGTTTTATTCATTTACTCATTCATTCACTCACAAAATATTAATTATTTGCCAGCGACTGACTGTTCTAAGCACTTGAGATTTATCGGTGAGCAAAACAAAGCCCCCTCTGTGGAGCACACATTGGAGGAGAGGAGGTTGGATAGCGTGTTAGATAATAAGCGAGCCAACCCAATGGTGATAAGTGTAATGAAGGACTATAGGGAGGGGAAAGACAGTGTGCGGGTGGGAGGCTTATTTTTAGTGGGCTGGTCTGGAAGGACCCTGACCATATGAACTTGAGCAAAGACCTGAAGAAGTTGACCGAGTGAGCCATGGAAATATGTATGAGGAAGAGAACGCCAGATGGAGGTTGAAAAGATCTAAAAGTCAGCTTGATATATATAGAAAAGCAGGAAGGCTCTTATGAGGTAGGACAATGGTTGGCAAACTCATCAGCCAACAGAGCCAAACATCAACAGTACGACGATTGAAATTTCTTTCGAGAGCCAAATTTTTTAAACTTAAACTATATAGGTAGGTACATTGTTATTAACTTAATTAGGGTACTCCTAAGCTGGCCTTTGCTAAAAACATCCTCAATCTAATTGAGGTACTTCGCTGAGGTCGACCCCTTCCAACTCTCCCATCCACACTCGTCCTGTATACTTGTTTCGTCTATCTCCTTTCCGAAAACCGACTTCTGCGCATGGGCCACGAAGTTTCAATCGCACTGTACGGGCGCGCCCGCATGTGGTATTTTGTGGAAGAGCCACACTCAAGGGGCCAAAGAGCCGCATGTGGCTCGTGAGCTGCGGTTTGCCGACCACTGAGCTAGGAGAGTAATAGAGGAAGTTCCTGAGGCCTTTTTAAAGATCTTGGTTTTGACTCAAATGAGGAGCCATTGAAGGTTTCTGAGAATAAGTTGTGTGCTCTGCCTTATTTAGAAGGATTACTGAAGTAATGCAGTGAGAGCATACCTGAGAGGCAAGAGTAGAAGCAGGAAGACCAGAGAGGAGGTACTGCTGCAGTATCTATCATACAGGTAAGAATTGGTGGTGCTGGGACCAGAGTGGTGGCAGTGAAATCAGGGAGATGAATTTGGATACATTTTGAAGGTAGAGCTGCGGGGATTTACTTAAGAATTGGATCTGGCATATGAGAAAAAGAGAGCCTAAGATGATTCTGAAATTACTGGATAGACTTTTAAACCATCCACAAAATATATTTGCATTCCAAGTTTGTGCCATGACAGGACAAAATATATTTACCAAGATCAAGTAATCCCGTACACCAAGAGTTTATTAGTGTTGAGATTGAAGTCTGAGGGAATTGGGTTCCAGTTTTAAGGGCCTCATCTCTGTTCAAGTATTTAGATGGCTTTGATCTCAGATTAAAGATTGCGATTCAGCTTTAAACTGCTATTACCTATCATTCTATGCACTCTGTACATTCTCATCCTTGCAATATGAAGCATAGAGCTATAATAGCAAATCCTGAGTTTTAAAAGTAGGTAAAAAAAAAAAAGTAGAGTGGAAGGGAGAAACGTCGATTGGCTGCCTTCCACATGCCCCTCAGCTGAGGTACATGACCTTGACCAGAATCCAAACCAGACCCTTCAGTCCCAACCAGCCAGAGCCAAACCAACTAGAGCAAAATTAGATAAATCTTTGCACTCCCAGCCCATTCCACTTCTACAGATTTACGTAAATTGGGTGTAAAATGGGCCTTAATGGTTACCAGTTATTTCACTCAAAATTCCAACTAGAGCCCTAACTGGTTTGGCTCAGTGGATAGAGCCTCGGCCTGTGGCTGAAGGGTCCCAGGTTCGATTCCGGTCAGGGGCATGTACCTGGGTTGCAGGCACATCCCCAGTGGGGGGTGTGCAGAAGGCAGCTGATCGATGTTTCTCTCTCATGGATGTTTCTAACTCTGTCCCTCTCCCTTCCTCTCTGTAAAAATCAATAAAAATATATATTAAAAAAAATTCCAACTAGAATAATTTTTAATAGGGGAAAAAAGCTCATTAAGAATCCCTCCCTTGGAATGGGTTTGAAATGAAGTAAATGCCGCTTGCGGAAGTCGGGTCTGTTTTTACTTTTCCCTATTCCTTCAGCGGTGCTGCCCAGGCTGACCTCCTCCTCTCGGGAAAGGGGTGCAGGGGAGCAGGCCAGGACCGCGGCCCAGGAGCGGAGGTCAAACGCCCTCTCTTCCCCAAGGGACCTTTCTCCACGCACCCGGGGACTGCTGCGCTTTGGTTTTTGCTGTGGATCATGGGGGCGGGGAGGAACTAAGCGAAGCCATCTCTGGGCGGTCCACCCACAGTCCACCGCTAGGTCCCTTCGCGTGGGGGCGATCGGGACCCTCGGGCTGCGCGGAGGGTCGGGCCGCCGGGGGAGGGTGTGGTGTGCGTCTCCTCAGCGGCGGTGGTTCCGGGGTCCGCCGAGCGGGGGCCTCCCCTCCGCGGCTGCCCCTCAGGGGGGGGCTCGGCCGCCGCCCGGCTTCGCCCCTCAGGCCCCAGAGGCCCACCCCGGCCCGCGCGCGGCGAGGGCCCCGGCCGGCAAAGAGCCCCGGGCCTGGGCGGCGCGCCTGCCCTTGTTTGGCCACGCGGCGGCGGGCCCTGGGCTCCTCCCGGCCGCCCCCCGCGGCGTCAGAGGGAGGCGGAAGCCGGGTGACTGCGACGCTGCGGCCGCCGCTCTCCACTCGCCGCCGCCGGAGAGGCCGGTGACCTCTTGGCTGCCCGCCGCGGAGCTCAGATGGCTCAGGCGAAGATCAACGCGAAAGCCAACGAGGGCCGCTTCTGCCGCTCCTCCTCCATGGCCGACCGCTCCAGCCGCCTGCTGGAGAGCCTGGACCAGCTGGAGCTCAGGTGCGCGGGGCGGGCGCGGGTGCCGGTGCCGGCGCCGGCCGCAGTCTGGTGTCCGGGACGCGGTGCAGTGTGTTTTGGGGGGGGGGGGGGTCCCACTCCTCGTCCGAGAGGAAGCGCATTCGATCTAAGGAGAACGGTGCGAGCGCCCGCCCGCCCCACCGGCGGCCACGTGCTCCCTAACCGAGCCGAGCGGTCCGAGCAGAGGAAAAGCGGAGACGGGGAAAGTGACGTCATTTGCGAGCAGGGACGGTGGCAGTCCGGTCCCCAGGACTTCTGGAACCTTCTGGGGGCCGGTGTACGGTCCTCCACGTGTTTTCAACTTAGTCGTGACCTTTTTATGCATTTTTAACCGAGGCAGCAGTTGAGCGGTCCATGATGGGGATGATCAGTTTCTTTGCTCCCCCAGACACTTAAGAGCAAAAAAAATTTAAAAAGCCAGGAACTCCTCCGATAGCAAGGACTGGCCAGGAGGAGGAGGACACGTGAGGGGCTGCTGGGGGACCGGCGGCTGGGTATCTGGAATTTAGACCCTGCCGCTTCCAGCTTTCCCCGCCATCCTGCCTTCAGCCCTCACTAGTCCCTCAGCGTTCATTGTGCACCTTCTTCCAAGCGCTGGTCACTGGCCCCGAAGGATAAGATGAGTTTTGATTACGGTGGTATTAACTAGTTAATGTAGTGGTGGGCTTGTATAGAATTTCTAAGTCATATTACATTTGGAAATGTTTCTTTCCTTTAACAGTGTAGGAAGCCTTTTGTATGATTCCTGGCTGCTGTGTAAATTGTGTGCAAGCGGAGTTAAATGAAATCTCATTAAGGCACCCACAGCCTCCTGGAACTACACAGGGTTTTTCCCCATAGTTCTCACCAGGCTCTGGGTGGATGAAGGAGTGTGTGAGCCAAACATTCTGAGAAGCATTTCATTATTTCTTTATCTCCCTGAGTTAATACAGCAAACCAAGAAGAGGTATCTATTCCCCAAGTCAGTGCTTTAATAACCACAGTACGTTTATCTTAGCGAGTGAGGCATGTGTTACTACCCCAAGAAAGGAGCCCGAATGTGAGGAATTCTCCACCCACAGTGATTTCATGGATGGCAACAGTGAGAGAAACCAGAGCCAAGACCACTTTCTGGGGTTCTGCTGCAAATGAGAAAAAGAAAACAAGAAAAAAGCAATGCTTCTCCATTACTTTTAACACTAACATTTTTACGTCAACCCCCAGACAAAGTGGAGCACAACTAGAGATCAGTGGCCTCAGCTACTCAGTGTCCCTCTGGACAGTAGTTCCTTTTATGTAGCAGCATAACAAGAAACTTGCACACCTCCCCAGGTCTTTAGAACTCTGAGGGTGTGTTCTCAACCATTTTAGGGGTTTCTCTTCCCTAATCAGAAAGAAAGGATTTTTCCTTAAAGCAATGAGGTCATTGTCCCTCCTTCAAGCTGAATCATTGTCCTCAAACTTGAATTAATGCCTCATGTGCGGTAGGTACAAAAAGTCAGGGACTCAGCTGGTTGCAGCGTTGACCTGTATATACACTAATAGGTGGTGGGTTTGATTCCAAGTCAGGGCACATGCCCAGGTTGCAGGTTTCATTCATCCCCAGTCCAGGTGTGTTTGGGAGACAACTGATCTGATATTTCTCTCTTACATTGATGTTTCTCTCTCTCTCCCTTCCTCTCTCTAAAGTAATAATACTTATTTTTTAAGTCAAGAACTCATCTCTAAAAGAAAGCCTCTGGATTTGAGTTTCTTATAGTCTAATATTGATTAATATAACATGAATTCTGATTACTGTATACAAGTGATTAAACTGTAACTTTCTTGTTTTTAATCTTCCCAAGGATATGTTTTGTTTGTTTTTTAATTGATTTTGAGAGAGAGAGAGAGAGAGAGAGAAAGAGAAAGAGAGAGAGAAAAACATCGATCAGTTGCCTCTAGTATGTGCGCCCAGACCAGGGATTAAACCCGAAACCTTGGCATTGCCCTGACTGGGAATCGAACCCAAAACCTTTTGGTGTATGGAAAGATGCTCCAACCCGGCTAGGGCTAAACTATAACTTTTTAAATTAACCCTTGAGCTGAGGAGGAAAGATTGATTAATATGTGAATTGTTCATTGTAAGGACTTTCTTCATCATTTTAGACTTTTGTAAGCTTTGTTTCTTTCTTTAAAAAATAAGTAATATTAACATTAATGTTAACTATGGAAGTGTTTTAGAAAATAAGTAAAAATAGAGAGAAATGCTAATGCCTGGACAAAGTCACAATACTACACTGTTAAAAACTAGAAGAATTATGTCTAGAAGGGAATTTTTAAAAAGAAAACATAATATTCATATGTAATTTGTTTCTAACATTTTACCGGGGCACTAGCTTATCTTTTTCAACTTCTTCAAAGAAGGTGACTCCTTTATCTCCTGGTTTTATTACCTATTTTAAGTGGTGTTTGTTTTTTGCATTCATCAGTGGCGCATAACACCGTGCTTAAGTTATTGTAATTATAAATAATGCATGCTAACATCCATTTAATGAGCACTGACTATATACCAGACCCCATGCCTCCATTCTCCAGTTGGGAAATTAAAACTTAAGAAGTTCAGTCTTGTGCAAGGTCACATAGCTAGAACCCAGGAAGACTAGCTATAGAGCTTAATACTTCATTACTAGTTTTCTTAAATATGTCATATTTTAAAATGTGGGAATAGTGTAAGGATGAACATATGATTTTACTGAAAGAAGTGAAAACTCCATTTAAATGGGTGTTTAATTCAGTAAATATTGAACACCCACTCTGTGCCAGGTATTGTGGAGCTCCTAGTCAGCTCTGGATGGTGAAGATGGGGTGTGGGTTGTGGAGAAGGGCACAGGGCTTGATGACAGGATGGGAGATTGGCTGTTCACACATTTCCCCACACTGATCATACTGTGGCTCCTTCTCCCTCTTATCAGCCATTTACAGTGGCTTACATGGAGGGTTGGGTGAACGAAGGGGGTGATATGGATCATTTGTCGGCCGGAAAGTTTCTGGTTGCTCAAAAGTTTCTTAGGGTGTGGCAGTGTCCAGGGAGTCATCAAACAAGATGGCACCATAGTTAATGTACAACAGCCTATAATTTATTTATTTATTTATTTTTTAAAATATATATTTTATTGATTTTTTTACAGAGAGGAAGGGAGAGAGATAGAGAGTTAGAAACATCGATGAGAGAGAATCATCGATCAGCTGCCTCCTGCACATCTCCTATTGGGGATATGCCCGCAACCCAGGTACATGCCCTTGACCGGAATCGAACCTGGGACCCTTCAGTCCGCAGGCCAACGCTCTATCCACTGAGCCAAACCAGTTTCGGCAACAGCCTATAATTTAAAAGAGCACTTTTCATAAACATTGTGATTTGAACCTTAAAAACCCTTTGGCTAGGAGGGCAGATGTTATCTCTCTTGGAAATGAGGGATCTGAATCCAGAGGGACCGACAGTAGCGTGAGGAGCTACTACTCACAGTAGCTCCTCACACTTTTTACACCAAAGTATCTCAGTAGTGAATGTCATTTAATATTTTGGTTATGATCAGGAAAACCCTTCAAAATTTTACGTTGCCTAAAATATGAGTGATCATTGTAGTATTCTTTAGATACAAGAGTATTGAATAAGAGACACGTGATTTTTTTAAAATTCTTTATTGTTTAAAGTATTATATATGTCTCCTTTTCCCCCATATTGACCTCTCCGAAGAGACACATGATTTTTTTTTAAAATTTTTATTGTTTAAGGTATATATGTCTCCTTTTTCCCCCATTGACCTCTCTGAAGAGACACATGATTTTAAGAACCCGTTTTAGAAATTCTTTCAAATAAATCCATGATAGGAGCACTTGCCATTTTCACGCCTCTTTATGAAAACACAAATTCTTGTTATTTGTAAGCCCGAGTTCATGATGTTCACCAGCACCCATTCTGGGCCCATTGCATATATCTCTACTCATGTATATATTTTTTTAGTTGATGTTGTCAGTCACTGTGAAAACTTGTTTACTTGTTTTACTTGGTTCAGTCACAACCACCATCTCATTATCCCTGTTTCATGGATGAGGAAAATTGAGGCAAGGAGAGTTTCAGTAACTACTCAAGGTTCGAACAGCTGGACTGGAACGCCCTTGCGGTGCCCACTGTGCCCTGTATTAGCTGACGGGGAGCAGGCACAGTCAGGGGAAATCGCTGTTCGGTCTCTTCTAAGTCTCCCAACTTGGTGTTCTGATACCCAGGCTGCCGAGACCTGCAGGGTGTCGGAGACATGAGGACTAGCTGAGGATAAGAGCCGTTCAGTTCTGTCCTTGTGTGAATATTCTGACTGCAATTTACTGTGGTGAAAGCCTGCTTAGTTGTGATCTCATGCAGGGAGTTTTCCAGAAGCACAGCCCAGGCAGGCCTTGATGTGAGGATAGGTTCTTCCCCAATTTGGACGTGTAGCTGCTTCCACGATCTGTTAGTGAAAACAGAACTGCCCTCTCTGCCAACAAAAGTGCTGTCGAATGATGTGTTAAAAAAACAACCATGAAGGATAAAGTGAGAGAGTCCAACAGTGTCTACCCAGAGTTCCAGAAGAAAATAATGGAATGGAGGACAGGGAATATTCAAAGATACAGTGGTTTACAATTTTCTAGAACTAGAAGAAAGGTAGATTATATTTGTATTTAAGATACCAGTAGCTGAAAAACAGTACAAATTTACTTAAACAAGCTAAGTAGAGATCTGGGTACAGCTTTTTAAAAGAAAAAATTAAAAATACAATATCGTCCATACACTAGACAGATGTACAGTAGTGCCAAGGGAAGCATTAACCAATGCTTCCTCAAGCGGGGGGTGGGGGTGGGGAAGAGGGGGGGCATTTTTTAAGGAAACAGTTCCTGTGCAAAGGATTGGGTTTTGAAAAAGTTTCACCAGTGGACAAGGGTCAAAGATAAGGAAGGTCGCAGAGGAGGGAATAGCAAATGAAAGGTCAAGGATGCCAAAAACTAACAAAAAAACTTTGGTTCTGAAGACTGACATTTTACCTTTGCTATGATATGAAAAAGGCATATGTGAAAATATACATAAGAAGTTCTGTAAAAGATGAAATCTGTTTTTCACAGGGAAAAAGCCCTGTCCATTTCTAGTCTGTGGTGGCGGGGGTGGGGTAGAAGGGGTTGGGGGTGGTGGTGGGGGTGGTGAGGGGGAAACCCATAAAAGTTCCATCTAATTTCCTTTATATTTGGTCTTGTTTAATAACAAAATACTTCTTCATGGGACAGGTTATATTTTTTTCTAGAATGTCTCCTTTTAAACCATTTTTTGTTAACAACACCATGAACTTACTGTTGTAACTTGCTGTTGTAAATGAAGTGTCCTTTTTTAGAAAAACTTCCAATTCTTTATCACCTGCCATTTGAATGTAAACTCGAGTGTTAAAAAATTAATCTCTTCTTTAGAATCTTCTCATGTACCAGTCACATGGTTCATCTGTAGACCATGGTTCATTTAAATACTAGAGTCATGGTTTGTGTTTTTAGCATAAATATTTCATATTAGTGCCAACTCAGTCTCTTTCATGTGTACTAGGCCCTAGTTTATCTGAGAGTTTGCAAATGTAAAATGTGTAAGTACATCATGAATGGTGCTAGAAGAAGGCCTGATACTGCATTATTCCTATTTTATAGATTATTAATTTTCATTGTTTCCTAGCCATATTATGTAGTAAGATTCTTTCCAGCTCTTTGCTTTTACTGGCTTTTATAAATGCAAAGTCCAACATATATTTAGTATCTTGATGAGTAAAGGGACCCTGTGACATTTCTGCTTATGAGTGCTATTTTGGGGTGTAACAGGTGGGTGACTGTTGGGGAAAAGGCATATGTGTGGTTGGGGTGAGGAGGGGGGATCCTTATAAGGAATGGACACGTGCTAAAACATTGGTGAGGTTGTTCCTTCTGGGCCCACTTCAGGCAGCAGTCAGGATTAGATCTTCAGTGATCTTGGGTTTCTAAGACCATCTGGATACTGGGGATAGGTCTGTCACTGTTTATTTTGGAAAGGTTGGCAGCTTGTGTAATTGCAGGGTAATATATAGCAAGAAAGTGCCCTGGAAACAGTGCACTTTAAATATACAGAATTTCTTTTTCTTGCTCTCATGATTCCACATGACTGGGTGTGTTCATGCATATGCGTAGTAATAAGTACATGGATGTATATAGTTGGGGAAAGTAGTACTTCTATAGCCTGGTCATGGCTCTGTACCAAAACCAACAGAGGCATTCCCTTTAAATTTGGGAAAAGGCAAAGATGCCTTCTCTTACAATTGCTTACAGTACTAGAGGACTGTAGTCAGTATTATATAAAGAAAAGTAGGAGCTAATAGCTCTGGTGGAGTAGCTCAGTTGGTTAGAGCGCCATCCTGATATGCTAAGGTTGCGGGTTCGATCCCCGGTCAGGGCACATACAAAATCAACCAGTGAGTGCATGGATAGGTGGAATGTCAAATTGATATTTCTCTCTCCTACTCTCTAAAATAAAAAAAAGAAAACTAGCTAATAGCATTGAAAAGGAAGAGATAAAAACTATCATTTTATGATCATCAATCTAGAAAAGAAAAACCAATAGAATCAAAAGACAAACCATTAAAATTAAGTATAAGTCATGGTTGCCAGCTAAAAGATGAAACTAGAAAAATAACATTTCTCTAACCAGAAATAACCAACTAAAAAATATCATTAAAAATATATTATTCACAGTAGCAACAATATCCACAAACTATCTAGAACACTGAAGAGTCCACAAGACTACCATCCTGCCTATATAATAAAAGGGTAATATGCAAATTGACCCAATTGGCAGAATGACTGTTCACTATGATGAGTACTGACCACCAGGGGGCAGACGCTCAATGCAGGAGCTACCCCCTGGTGATCAGTGCACTTCCATAAGGGGAGTGCCGCTCAGCCAGAAGCCAGCTCGTGGCTGGCCAGCGCAGTGGCAGTAGCAGGAGCTTCTCCCGCCTCTGTGGTAGCACTAAGGGGAGCAGGCCTAAGCCGTTAGTTGGACATCCCCTGAGGGCTCCTGGGCTGCCAGAGGGATGTCTGACTGCCAGCTTAGGCCCAGTCCCCCGGGAAGTGGGCCTAAGCCATCAGTTGGAATCCCCTGAGGGGTCCCGGACTGCGAGAGGGTGCAGGCCGGTCTGAGGGGCCCTCCCCCACAAGTGCACGAATTTTCATGCACCGGGCCTCTAGTCTATATATATATAAAAGGCTAATATGCAAAGTGTCCCCTCAGGAGTTTGATCGCTCGCTATGATATGCGCTGACCACCAGCGGATGGCATGGAACGAAGGAAGGCCCTGGCCAGCAACCGGGGAAGGAAGGTCCCGGCCAGCAGCCAGAAGGCCCCAATCGGCCCTGATCGCCAGTCAGGCCTAGGGACCCTACCCATGCACGAATTTTGTGCACCGGGCATCTAGTTAAGAATACTTCATCACCAGATGAAATCACCACCTACAATGTGCAGTTCCAAGTAGTGGCTCCCGAAAGAAAAATAAAGAATACTTCAAAACTCTAATAAAGAATATAGAAGAGGATCTGAATAAATGGAGATATATCATGTTTTTGCATGGAATGACGATACAGTATTAGAAAGATGTCAGATTTGCCCGTTTTTTTTTTAAAAACCCAATACACTTATTCTAGAGTTTAAATGGAAGAATAAAAATCTAAATAGATAAGTTTTCTTTAAAAAAGATTAAGAGGCTGTTCCTACCAAATATTAAGGCATATTATAAGACTGGTGCTATTTTTTAATTAATTTTTTAAAAATTTTTATTGATTTTTAAAGAGAGGAAGGGAAAGAAAGAGAAACATGATATGAGAGGAAAACATCCATTGGCTGTCTCCTGCACGCCCCCTACTGGGGATTGAGCTGCAACCCAGGCATGTTCCCTGACCAAGAACCAACTGAGCCACACCGGTCAGGGCAGGTGCTATTTTTCAAAGTGGGTATTTGTGTAAGAACAGTCAATGGAATAGAGATTTCAGATGTAGACCATCTACAAATCACTGGGGGATAAATAGATTTTTGGTGGATCATGTTGGAGAAAAAAGTCACTATGGGGAGAAAAATAAAACAATATCCTTACCTAACTACATATAAAGGTGGGTTCTAGATGGGTTAATAGGAGCCCCGGCCAGTGGCTCAGTTGGAGCATCATCTGATACACCAAAAGAAGGTGTGGGTTCCATTCCCCGTTATGGCGCATGTGGGAGGCAGCTGCTCAATGTCTGTCTCTCTCTCTCTCTCTCTCTCTCTCTCTCTCTCTCTCTCTCTCTCCCTCCTTTCCTCCCTCCCTCCCTCCCTCCTTTCTTCCATCTCTAAAAATCAATAAACATGTCCTCGGGTGAGGATTTTTAAAAAAGGAAAAGATATAAATAGGATAAAGGTAAAATGATAGAGTTAATAGAAGGAAATGTAGGCCAAAACCTAGGGATGGGGAGACCCTGAAAAAAAATTTCAGAAGCATAAATCATAAGGCAAAACAAAACCAGGAAAAGATGAACTTGATCATTTCAAAATAAGGATCTCTGTTCAGTGAAGGGTATCCCAGCATTAATATATTATGATAGGATGGGAGAAGATGGTTGCATTATCTGTAACCAACAAGGGATTCATATCTTGAGTACGCAAATCAACAAGAGGACAGCAACCCCTGTTTAAAGAAAACAGGCAAAGGCTATGAATAGGCTAACAAGGATACAAAGAGATGTCTGAAATTATTAATGAAATAAATGTAAATTAAGTATTGAGATATCACTACACTTACTGTCAATAAAGAGTTAGAAAATTGGAAAATGCTGAGTATTGGTAGGGTTGTGGGGATATAGGGACTCCTGTGCTTTGCTGCCAGGAGTATGACCTGGTATAGCCATTCTAGAGAGCAGTTCTCGTACTGAGTCAAGTGAAGGTACACACACCCTTTGTCTCAGCAGTTCTCCCCTCATGCAGGTTCTTAAAGGGCATGTATTCATTGAAGTGTCATTTGTGGTGGTGAATAGCTGAGGGACAAGGGGAGTGTCTCTACTGGGAGGTAAAATCAGGTGGATATACATGTGGAGAATTGGGCAGCATTTAGAAGCTACTGATTAGATGGTTCTTAATAAAATAATGCTGAACATGAGAACATGAATACACAAATACATATTTTTGCAAGAGCAAACAGATAACCACTAAACAGAGCAGGGAGGGAAATGGGAGTGGGGTAAGTGGATTTAAAAAGAACATAAAAATGAGAGGATAAAAAATAAAAGGAATAAAGACATCCTGAAAAGTCTTCCTAATGATCTTTAAACTTGAATTGAATGACGGAAGGGTGAGGACCACTGATCGTCCATGCAGCAACTGCTGTTTTTCTCTGTTTATAGGGTGGAAGCTTTAAGAGAAGCAGCAACTGCCATTGAACAAGAGAGAGAAATCCTCCTGGAAATGATCCACAGTATCCAGAACAGCCAGGACATGAGGCAGATCAGCGATGGTGAGAGCTGGTTCCATGGACGGGGCTCGTCTTTTACACCCTCTGTGGGGTTTGTGATAAGCGTGGGCCAGTTTTTGCTTGACTTGTGGTATGAGCACACCCGATTTCAGCATTCAGTGTGAGCCGCAGGCAGCAGCTGCAGCTGTCAGTTTATTACAAGAGATCATTCTCCCACTGTACTCCCCAGCCCAGGCCGAGGCCGGACGTGATGGAAAAAGGCCTCCAAGCTCCTTTGCAGAAAAGCTGCCTCCAAGCAATAAGGCCAAGTATAGAACTTAAATTCTATCGAAGTTACTGGAACGTAGAATTAAAAGCAGAGGGAGCCAGGCTGGAGTGGCTCAGTGATTGAGTGTTGACCTGTGAACCAGGAGGTCACGGTTCAATTCCTGGTCAGGGCATAGGGTTTCGGGCTCGATCCGCAGTGTGGGGTGTGCAGGAGGCAGCCAATCAATGATTCTCTCTCATCATTGATGTTTCTGTCTCTCTCTCCCTCTTCCTTCCATTTCTGAAATCAATAAAAACATATCTTTTTAAAAAGCATAGGGAAGTCATAAGCGCTTTGGCTCAGTGGATAGAGCTTCGGCCTGCGGACTGAAGGGTCCCAGGTTCGATTCCAGTCATGGGAATGTACCTTGGTTGTGGGCACATCCCCAGTAGGGGGTGTGCAGGAGGCAGCTGATCGATGTTTCTCTCTCATCGATGTTTCTAACTGTTACTTTCCCTTCCTCTCTGTAAGAAATCAACAAAATACATTAAAAATAAAAAGTAACCTTATTAAAAAAAAAAGCATAGGGAAAAGGTGAGATAGGAAGGGAGAAAATGCAAGAAAATAAACTACAAGCCAAATAAAACCCCATTAATGTAAAAACGTGCCATCATTTTCATATGAAAAGCATGACTGCCCTGGAGGAACAGGTCAGCTGTGATTTGTGTTTGCTGGTGATGACCTTCCTAATTTGGTGCTTCCTTCACAGAACAAGCTAGTGGGCCAGGTAGCTGTGCAGTACGTGAGCAGTCTACCTCCAGAGTCCACAATGGGGTCGGATCTCTTCGCCATCCTGGCCAAAGATCAACGAATTAGGAAGTCACAGAACTTCCCTCCAAAGATCAATGAATTAGAAAGGACGTAGGGGATTGCTGACCTTTTTATATAAATAATGAGGTGCTGACAGAGTCCCTTTTCCCATCATTGCCTCTGGGTGCGGGCTGAGACTTAGACCACTGGCCGTCTTAAATTTGTCTTGAGGGGGTGAAGTTGAGGCCTAATTTTCAGCCAGCTTTTCACCACTTTCATGGTTTTTTTTCTCAGCCCAAATTGGGGCATTGTATTCTGATAAACATGCAGAATATGCCACCCCAAAATATGCCGCTTTGGTACAAGGATATTTTGAGCTGATTATTTTTGAGAAACTGCAGATGCAAGAGAAGCTCTGGAAACAGAGAAGTTATCCTTTTCTAAGAGAAGTTTACATTTATAGAGCAACTTTCCACATGTAAGGGTGTCTCCCTCTCTGTGCCAGGGAGGGGACTGTGAGTCACAAGGACTTTTATCAATGGAGAAGGTGCTGACTGTAGTTAAATCTTATTCTCTTTACCTTGCTTTTCCTGGTCACCTCCCATAATTGGCTTCCTTCCCTCCCCAACATCTTTTGTCTTCAGCTGAAGATGGTATTTAAGGTGGTGGCTGAGCCATCTCGGAGAGTTACTCAGTTTTCCATGTATACATGAGTTATACATGTTAATAAACTTTTGTATTTTTGTCCTTGTTAATCTTTTATTCTCAGGCAAGAACTCAGAAAGATAGAGTGGCAATTATTTTTCCTCCCCTACATGCACATCCTTTGGAGAGATACAGGACATCTCTCTGCAGCCTTAACCGGCACAAAACCTGGTTATGCTCACTGTTCACACGGTGGTAAGACCTGATCTCCATCCCAGCTACAAACACATACCTGCCCAGACTTGGCAAACATGACCACTTGAGAAGTCATCTGGTATTCCATGTATACAGACTTTCAGGGAAAGGGATTCTTTTTATTTTTTTGATTTCAGAGAGAGGGAGAGAGAGAGATAAGAACATCAATGATGAGGGAGAATCATTGATTGGCTGCCTCCTGCACGCCCCACACTGGGGATCAATCATATGCCCTGACCGGGAATCAAACCGTGACCTCCAGGTTCATAGGTCGATGCTCACCACTGAGCCACGCTGGCTGGGCCAGGGAAAGGTACTCTTTAACCTCCCTCTCTAAACCAATGCACTTCATCAGTTAATCTTATATGCTGTAGTTTTAACTTTAACTAACCCTTAGGAAATTCATAGCAGAGGTGACCACAGAAAATAGATTTACCCACAAATAAATGTGTTAGTGTTCTTGACATTTTTTGGGTAGGAAGAAATTTTTCTTTACCTTTTTAGATCCTCTCAGCTGGACTAGTAATTAAATCAACATGAGACAGATTAACAATGGAAAAATAACCAAATTTAATTACATATGTTCATATGGGAACCCCACATACATGAGAGAGTCAGAGACACGCCCCATACATGAGAGGTAGAGGTAGAAAGGTAAAGTGAGGTATACTCGACAATGTGAGCTAAGGTACGAGATAGGGCGTCTGGGGCTGCAGCGGGGAGAGGGAGATTTGCAGGACAATAAAGAGATGCTCAGTTATTAGAAGTTTGCTCTGCCCTGTGGATAGGTCATAAAAATTATCTCTGGCAAGAATTCTTACCATGAGCAAACCCCCTAATTTAAATTCTTTAAGGGAGAGGTAAGGGTTTCTCATGAACCCTCAGGGTCTCGATCGCCTTCAGCTCAAAATAATTCCTATGCCAATGTAGCACATTGTGGAGAAGCCTGTTCTGAACCCCTCAACATAGATGAGTTTATGACTCAAGTGATTGGTATTTCAAACTTTTTATGTTTAGGAGAAAGAGAAGAATTAAATCTGACCGCAAACCGTCTGATGGGACGAACCCTCACTGTTGAAGTTTCAGTGGAAACCATTAGAAACCCCCAGCAGCAGGAATCCCTAAAGCACGCCACCAGGATTATCGATGAGGTGGTCAGTAAGTTTCTGAATGATTTGGGAAATGCCAAGAGTCACTTGATGTCGCTGTACAGTGCGTGTTCGTCTGAGGTGCCGCCTGGGCCAGTTGATCAGAAGTTTCAATCCATAGTCATTGGCTGTGCACTTGAAGATCAGAAGAAAATTAAGAGACGCTTGGAGACTCTGCTTAGAAACATTGAAAGCTCCGACAAGGCCATCAAGCTGCTAGAGCATTCTAAAGGAGCGGGCTCCCTCGCTCTGCAACAGAATGCTGACAGCAGATTTAATTAGTTTCCAAACCTGAGAGCAATGATGTGAAAATAACATGCTATCTTAAGTGATAACTAGTTCTTTATGTTAGGCATAACCACTCATTTGATGAAGATGATGAAAATATTCCAGTGTCATCAGTTTTATGAATAACAATTAAAAAGTAGAAATATTTTAATTATCTTCCTGTAAGTTTTTAGATTGAATTATTGTCTTATACTAGGAACTAGCACCATATATATATTTTGTACTATTCTGTGGATGAATGTTTTGTATGTGGGGGAAGTACAGTACGTGCTCAGCTAGGGGTAAAAGAACCACTATTCTTACTGGGGCTTTGTCTGGTGTGGAGACACACGGGCACGTGGGGCATTTGGTTGACTAGAAAGCTTTACGCAGCAGCACACGCACATTTCATGTTAGCCAAGCAGAGTGTTTACAGGGATAAAAGGAATCACGGAGTAAGAACCTTTCCCTACATTCTCTCAATCAGCAGTTTTTTTAGACATGCATGTCAAATTATTTTAAACTTAGATTTACACATCTCATAATAATTTCTTGATATACATGAAAATATGGCAAATGAGAAAAATTCACATCTGATTTTACCACTGTTAACAATTATACATTCACTTCATCTTTTCCACATGCATCATTTCTCTAAAATGTTAATTACTATGTAAATACAATGTTGTAACTTGCTTTTAAAAATAATTAAATGCTGCTATAAAGTCCACTTAAATTGTCAACTTAAAAACCTCTGAGTTACCCAGTACCCTCACTAGACAGTTGTTTCCAGTTTGTTGCCATTACTGCATAGAGCTTTTCCATTTTTTTGTTTATTTTTTTATAAATTCCCAGCAATGAGTCAAAGGGTATATACATTTTCATGGCCTGACGTAATTCTAGTTGTTTTTCTTTGTCTAAGAGTTACCAAGTTATACTGTATTAAATAATTAAAATGTAGCTATTTCACTGAGCTTTCCAGCATTAAGCATTTTTTTCTAACATTAGATATGAAACATCTTTAGTTTGCATTTTTTTACTAACAAAGTTGACCAGTGTATTGATTATTCTTTTATCTGTAAGAAATGAAGCAACTATAGAACACTTTTATTTATTATTAGTGTTATTGACATACAAAGCCCTCAACTTTCCCAAATACTACTGCAAAACAAACATTTCAAACTCAATTTTTATTAGAGCATAAGTATTCTTTCACACTGGAAAAAAGTTAAGATTCGGGTATTTATTTATATCAATGTATATTTATCTATCAATGAAAACAATTCTGAGCTTGGCTTTCTGGACAAAAATGCCCAATTAGTCTCTCTTCATAAAAAGCAATTACAATCTAAGGATATTCATGGCTGCATTGATTGCCAGCCCCAAGTCCTCTTCATTTAAATCTTTCCATTTCATGGGGAACATTCATTCTCATTGATAATGGTGCAAAGCCTCTTGATTTGCCAGCAGATTCTAATTTGCTGTTATCAGGTTCACTGACAGATAAAGATTTTCTCTTTGTGCCATCTGTTTCTTTATCAGCTTTTTGAAAATTAAGACACACACGATCAAGTTTTCCTCACGTTCTCAAGGACTGTCAGCATCTGTACATCCCGTCTATTTGGGGAAGTAAATACTCCCCCTTTCCACTGACTCCACGTCAGCCCGGGACTGTACCACAAACATTCCAGCGCTGTTTGTCTCATTCTTTACAATGAAGTTTATTGGAGGCTGCTCCTTATCACAGACTCGAGAGCTGCGACCTATCTCCAAGCTGCGTCAGTCCCTGGTCTGCTGGCCACCAGCCTGAGCCACGTTCAAAGGGCAGTGACCTCAGTGTGGTGATTCTTATTTATTTTTAAGAATGGAAGTGTGACTTATTTTCAAATGACGAAACTCCCAAGCGTCACATTTTTACCTTCATTTAAACTGTCGTCTTCCATGTAGGTAGTAGATTTGGACCATAAGGGAATTGAGTATATGTTTTGTCCATGTTGATATAGTCCCTAACGGCTATAATTGGGATCGGATACCATTTCTAGAATGTGATGTACAATTTTAGGGCAGCCCTGTGCCATCCCTCACGAGCACTGCTTCCCAGTAGAGTTCCCATGCCCACCCTAGGTTCTCTCGTGTGAGCCAGCAGGACCTGCAGAGGAGCCGACAAGAGCAGTCAGTGCCGGTCATTGACTGACGGCAGTGACACTGCTGCCCAGTTAGAAATCTGGCAGATATACTGGTAGAATTGACCCTCCTGGTATTTCAATGTAGAAATCTGACATTGAAAAAATCCCTGTGCTGGCTTCCAGCTGTGCTTCCCTCCCAGTCTCAGTGTTGCATCCCCTAGGCACCATTCACACTGTGTTGTATGTGAGTGGGTCCTCCCTTTAATTTAATGAAACATTAGCCAAGTGAGGCATATGCAGAGGGACAGCATGCAGGCAGGGAGGACCCTTTGTGTTGGAGCTCAGTCTAGTACCGAGTCAGAACTCACCCTAACGAGGGGATCGACTCTGTTTCAACATTTTAAAACTGGAAAGCATGAGAGAATTTAGCAACCACTGAAAGAAGCAGAGGAAGGGTCTGGCACACCAAATTATATGCAACAATTTTTAGCGGGGAAACACCCGTGCATTTGTCCCTTTCACACGGCTGTGATAAACACTACTATTTTGGGAGTGCATCTACATGATAATGCTATTTTTGAAAGATGGATTTTATAATTATTCAAAACAAAAGTGGAAAGTCAGAGCTGAAAAGGCAAGACAAAGACAGCAGTGAGCCTGAACTTCTTTTTGTGTGTCTACTCATATAACAGCCAAGCCAAATGAAACGGACCTTCTGCTTAGGGACACAACCACGTTCTTAAGTTTTCAACATGAACTAAGAGTAAACAGCTTGAACTGGACCACACAAATCTTTCAATTATCCACCTCAACCCCCTAAATAGTGTAGCAAATATGCCTCTTTTGCATGTAGTGGGCATTCAGATCACTTTGGCAGTCACACGTTGGGTGAGGAGCCGATTTCAGTGTCTAGTCCAGCTTTAATGTGCCATATTCCCGGGGTGACCAGAACAGGTTAAATAAATTAGGCACAGTTTGTGCAGGAAATTTGACAAAAGGAATCAGAAAAGAGTGAAAAACCTGGGCTTAGACTTAGCATATGGATTCAGGGAGTATTACCTCCCAAATGTAACCGTCAGATAATACAAGACCTGAGACAAAACAACACAGAGGCCATAAGCTTTGCTGCTGGGAGACCTGGCACAGACCTCCCACCCCCTCTCTTACCGCAGAGAGCCCCAGGCACATCCCTGCCCTCCCCAGCTGTAAAGTGGGGGTGAGAATGCTGTTAGGAACTTCAAGAGATACAGCATGCAAGGTGTTTAGCATGGTGGCTAACAGAAAGCACTTGTTAAATAAATTTGAACTATATTTTGTACCACGGGACAAAGTAAATATATTTTTGGCGGGGGGTCGGGGGAAGGGAGAAGGGCTGGTAAGAGATGCTCAAAGCACAAGGAAATGACTTCTTTAAACAGACTGATACTGATAGAAATAAAAAAGAAATTTAGTTTCCAAGGCAAAATTACTTAAACCACAGTGCTAAATTGCACTAAATATCTACTATCAATAAAATGAGTATGCTAAATATTGGCAGAGTGAGTATCTGAAATATGAAATATTTTTAAGTTGTTTTGATTTTTAAATAAGTCATACTATACCTTTTACTATTTGGTTCCACGCTGGTGACACATATCAAACGAAATTCAGGCGTTGAAATGCATTTATTTTTTGATTATTGGAATTAATCTTTCATGAAATTTTTATTAAGTAGTATATTTTAAATTAAGCTCACGTGCATAACTGCAACCCAATAGTAATACATACAAGTGGTTTTTCATTCAAATTTACAAAAGCATTATTTAGTAGTAACAAAAATATAGAAGGGGTTGAGATTTCCTTTTAATCCAAAGTTTTTATTTTTAGACCATCTACCAGTATCCTACTATAGATATTTCAAGAGAGAGAAGAAAAGGAGTACTAATAAAAGTTATTACAGCTATCCATCCATTTACCTGGGAATTAGGTAATTGGATATTCCAGAGTCCACTGTGGTTTTAAATAGTTTGTTAGCAAACAAATTCACTAGTAAGATAAGCTTACATGTTTTAGGGTGAAAACTTGAAGAGTGATAACAGTACACATGTTCGTAACTAGTAGTTAAAACTGAATAAATCTACCTGTTCATTAGATTGACTGTGCAGTGTGGGAAGTCTTTATAATTCACTTTGTTTTCAGAGAAACAGATTATCCAGTAATGGGAGCACTTCAGCTAATTACCAGTTAACTATTTCAGAGGTTTTGAAAAGGATGCTCAATTAATATTTTACATTAAAATAGTTCACTATAAGTTAGGGCATTAGGTCCTGAAGCCAACTCCTTGTTCTGAGATCTTCAGAATAGACTCCAGTCCCTAACAGTCACAGGCTCAGTGGGTGCATTAATGAGTGTTCTTTTTGCACTGAGTTGTCAACTTCTGAAACAACCATCTAACTTCACTCCACAGGGAGGTGTCCATCCTCTTTTTGGTAGTGTCACTTTTACTTTATTTTTAAAAAGTTTACGTGGGTTATCAACTTTGGGCAGATGAAAAGAAAACCATTTCGCCTGGTTTTATTTAACTACTAGAGGCCCTATGCACAAAATTCGTGCAAGGGTAGGCCTGCCTTCCCCCTGCTGCCGGCACCGGCTTCCCTCTGGCAACCAGGACCCGGGCTTCTCTCCAGCCACCAGCAGGCACCCAGGACCCAGGCTTCCCTGGTAGGGAAGGTCTAATTAGCATATTATGCTTTTATTATTATAGATACTGCCTTATATGTGCTGTTCTGTGTGCTATTTAATTCAATAGGAGACTGAAAGAGGAAAAGGAAACCTCGGGAACTTTGAAATATGGCAGTTATTACAAAGCTATATGTCTGAATGCTAAACATTAGCCATAATATAAAAAATACATTAGAGCACAAATGCACAACCTCCTGGAGGCTTACACAAGTTTTCTTCAGCAACCATGGTTCGTTAGACACTAAGAGTAAAGTTATTTAAAGGAATTAAGGGCCTCAGGGGGGAAAATTAATGTTAATTTAGGTTTTATAATTAATTGAATTGAGAATGTATAATGAT